AATTCAGGTTCTGGGTAGGGGGGATGCATCATCATCATCATCATCATCATCATCACATTTCTATGCTGCCCCTTGCCGAAGCCTCGGGGCGGCTTACAACACAATAAAATACATTGAAATACAATAGCACATAATAAATTACCATTAAATACAAAAATACAAAAAATACATTGAGTTACAAACATAATAATATAAAATTAAAATTATCAGTATAAAATAAGTAAATAAATAATATAGGAGGAGAAAAGAGAAGGAAGAAGAAGTTGCCCTGGCCAGATCATATATTTTAACAATTAAAATGATGTTTAAATAAAAGGTCTTTACCTGGCGCCGAAAAACCAGTAACGACGGTGCCAGGCGGACCTCTTTGGGGAGTGAATTCCATAGGTTGGGTGCCACCACAGAGAAAGCCCTCCTCTGAGTACTTACTCTCCTAATTTCTTTCATGGAGGGTTCCCGGGGAAGGGCCTCTCCCGCAGTGCATGGACAAGACCACATCCCCACCCATTTATTGCAAGCTCACAAAAGATCTGCTGGTTACTTGCAATCAATGTGTGACTAATCCTTACCCATGTAACTCTGTGCCATGTGTTCTGTCTGTTCCATCTCCAGGTTTTCTCTCCCCATCCCAACTGATCAGCCATTTGAGTTTGGCAACACATTATAGAGCTCATGCAGGGAAGTAGCTAAAGGTCCCGTTTATATTCCAGAAGATCTTTTCCCCACAACTATGCAATAGGAAAGGAGTGGGAAAGGAAAGGAGAGGCTTCAACATTTGCTTTCCCTAACCTTAACCCTTTTCCTTCTAGAATGCAGAACACACACGTGGCTTATATTTTTCTTAAACTTCTGGTGCTTATTGGCAGAAGAGCAGAGGAGATTTGCAGTTGGAGCATTAGCTTTACAATTATTAATAAATAATTATTTAGCATTATCCAAAGAAAACAAACAAATAAAATAAACTGCTCATTCTCTGATAAACATGGAGGTAATGGCAACCCTAATCCCAGCCAGTTGATTGGTCCAAGCTCCCATTCTTCTTCTAAGAGAGCAAAAAAAAAAAAAAAAAAAAAAGGTAAGGGGAAGCCAGAGCTTCCAGTTTTCCCTTTCTGTTGGAATACTTGCATGGAGATTCCCATGTAAACAACTCTAATGTGTAGCCAAGCCCTACATTCCTCTCTGTGACCTCCTCTTCCCTTTGTACTACACCCCATTCCAATTCTAACCATTGTGCTGTCCAGTTTCCATTGTGTTCCTGTGTTGCCAAGCTCCCTAGCTTCTGCTTTCCTAGGCCTTTGCTTCTTCTACCTCTGCTTTTTTTCTTGGTCCTTCTCATGACTTTGTCCCTCTTCAACAGGGATGCACACACTTTCTGGTCTTGAGGGCCACATCATGTGGTGCTAGGGGTCCCCCCATCTATGCATGTGCTCAGACACATGCATGGACACGCAAATGCATATGTCTGGGGTTTCTCTTGCAAGTGCCAATGGGTGAAACTCTCCCTTTATCTCCAATCTCTCATCCAAAACCAGAGCTAAGGGATTTACTTGCTCAGATTACAGGAAACTTGACATTTCCATTGCTAGCATCCCCAGGGAATTGTCTTCCTTATCTCTGATCTCCAGTGATCACCTCTGATGCAGAGGTAGCAATAGTGTTAGAGCTAGCAGTAGCACTAGAGGGGGAAACAGCTTTCACCAAAATGCTGTTGGCTGTGGCCGCAGATGCAGAGCGGTCCGGAAAATTGTGGCCAGCACATTGCACTGTTGCACCCTGCTGTACAGGATCTGAGCAGTTCTGTCAATGGCAAGCAGAGCACCTGACTCTGCCTTGTGCTCCTGGACATGCCAGCCATTCAATGCTAGAGGCTTCACCACAGTCACCAGACCCTTGAAACGTTATACAACATAAGGCTCACAGAGGGCTGATAGGGGTACCATCTCTGTGTCTTTGCTCTGGACGATACGTTTCTTTACCCTCTGCATGCAAAATCATGCGTGATTATAAACTGTGAAAGAATTTGCACTATTTTTAATGTTGAAGATGCCAGTCATTTTGAGTGCTGTGTCCTGAAGTGGAAAGGTGGAAGACAAGAGAATATTTTTTTTTAAACCCAAATACATAAAATGTGGCTGAAAAACACTTCAGATACCTGGTTGAATATAAGGTTTAAAAAAACCCCATCAGAATGGCTTCCTAACAGACTTGGGGAAAATTGTGAAGATTTGTGTTAAGGGTTTTGTCTCTTCAAATGCCTTATGGCTAATGGGGTGGGCAAAAACCTCCTAATTAAAAAAAATTAAAAAATGCTTGCTCACGAGTTCCACAACAAAAGTCTGCTCCTGAAGAAAAATATTCGGTGGAACACATTTTGCACTAATGTTCAATTTCTGAATTTCTCATTAAACTTAGCAGATATGGGATTTCCTCCCTGCCTTCACATCTTTTATGAGCATTCCTCTCTTTTGATTGTTTTGGACAATAGGATTCAGCAGCCAGTGCCAAACTGAACTGTTTAAAAGGATGATGTAAGCAGCAGAGCAATGGTCTGCAAACAAAGCATTGCTTGTAACAGTGCAAAGCTAAGTCAAACTTTCAGACTGGAGACCCAAGTGCTCTCACAGAGACACTTTGAGATCAGTGAAGCTACTCAAGAAGTAAGATGCTGCACACTGTGAGTAAGGAACACAAAATCTGACCTTCCAGAACAATAAACACTTCATTCAAGGATCCCAAAGCACTTTACAAACACTGGTTCATTCCAGTGGAGAGCTTATTCTAAACTCACCACTTTAGAATAAACTCAGATGAAACGTGTTAAAGGTTTCTCCAAACAATATCAACAAAGGCTTAGTTCTCTTTCAGAAGGAATTAAAATAATTCCCTTCTCCCAGATCATATAAAAAGAGAAACTTCAGAATGTTATTCTAAGAATGGAGTGTCATACCATCAGACTGTAAACTATTTTTTCAGTATAATCACCCTCACCCCTTCAGTATCTTAATCAAAAGTTTGGAAGGAACTGTTGTCATGCCTTGATTTTTTTTTAAATGGGGAAGAGAATAGAAAGAAAAAGAGCGAAGGAGGGGGAAAAGTTTCTTGAGTAATACTAAGAATATGGGTCAAATGTCACTGAATCTATGATTAAATGGAAAATCCCCCAAAAGTGTATCCCTTTTTCCCCGTAGTACAAAGGGCTGGAATATAAATTACTGACAAAAATGAAATAATACTTCAAAGTGCATGGGGAAAGCAGCACAGTATTTAGAAAACATATTTTATGGAATGATGAAGCACTGAAGAAGATGGTAACCCGTGGACTTTGGGGCACGTTGGTGAATAGTCTCAAACTAGCATGAGGTGGCATTGTAGGGCTCCATAGTCTGTGACCCCATGATATGCTTTGTTTCTCAGGGGCAGCTGCAGTTATCAACAGATGTTTCAGCAATAAATAATTGGTATCATCTCAGAAAAGGCCCATCTACCTGGGGTGAGAGGATAATGCGTGCAAACACTGCTCTGCTATTACAGCCACATTAATCTCCCATCTATCCAGGTTTCTTGGGGAGTTTGCTGCAGGTGCTGATCCTGGGAGAGAGCAGACAAATACTCTCACGGCTGAGGGCTTTGTGGGCATTGTAAAAGAGGTCAGTCCCCATCATAAATTTCTGTCTGAAGGCCACACACCAACACGTAAAGAAGCAGAGCAGAAGAAGACACAGAGGAAAGGAGGAAGAAAATAACCAAGACAAATTCAGAATCACAGTAAAACTCTACTTAGTGTTAAGAGTTTGTACAACATCAACAAACCCTCCTACTTTGTCAAGGCATGTAAGTGCTCCATGCAAGTTAAACCATGTTCTTGTAGAAGAGGACAAAGGGGATGATTTAGGTCCTGATGGGGCAGTACTCTGTTCTGTCTTGCACCTGCAGAACATGATGCCTCGCTTGTAAACAACAGACCCCATTCTCAGACACCATATTTGCACCCACACGTTCCCAAACAGAGTGATTCTGATCCAAGAGACTTCAATAGTGCTCAGATTGATTGTGTAAGGGGAAACAGGTCACAACAGCAACACGGTGATTTTACTTTGGAGCAGACAGTTACGGTACTAGCAAGAGAAGCAAGTCTGATCCAAAATGAGACTGTTGCATAGGATGGAAGATTGCCCAGATTTAGGCTTCTCAAAAATAAAACAGACAGAGAATTGTGGCCTCAATGTTATACTTTACAACAGTCAGTTATTTACAAGGGGTTAAATAGCAGCATGAACAGGCTATAAATAAAGGCAAGACATAAATAAAGGTGGAAAACTCCTGAATGGAATGGGGATACTAATGATAATAACGATGGTGACTGTGATAATGCAAATAATATGCTTTGAAATTAAAGCATGAAATAGTCTCACCCCATCCTAATACAACCCTTAATTTCATAGTAGAAAATCCATCAGAAATGTCTGGAGAGGGCTGGGAGTTGAAGAACTTCTTTTCTGTCTAAACACACACAGGACTGTGCCCAAAATTAATCAGGGAGAGTGAAACATCTTCCTTATGAAGACTTTTTGGTTAGGAAGAAAGTTGGCTGAGCATGATAGAAATAACAGAATAAAAGTGCATTTTGAGACACAGATGTTTTAAGATATCTGCACTCTGAAGGGCATGTGATGCTCCGGAATGAATGGGCTACTTCATTCACCAGAAGATGAGCCAAGAGGGTCCAGTCACATGAGCATCAGATCGCATGCTGCAGTTTCGATCAGGGTGCATTTATTGCTGCATGTGGACACAATCAAGCCATGGACCCAAACTCAACCAATGAAAATAAGTATTTGGCCATTTGTTTATATGGAATCAGGACAGCAACCATCATCTGCTGGCAATAACGATGAGGAATGAGGTCATCCATGCAATGAGGAAGGGACCATCTGTTAGATCCCTTCCCATCTAAGTGTGGTGTATGCAGGTTTGAATGGCAGGTGCTTTATGTTTCATACCAGTAACGCATGCATCTTTGTGTTGATCAGATCTTTCAGGTTTGTTTTGTCTTCCAGGTCTATGGCTTGTTTGTATTGCCACCTTTCTGGCACGAAGGGCCACTTCATTTCCTTTGCCTCTTTGATGAGGGTCCTCAAATCTTCAGGGAGCACAGCTGAAAAGGTCAAAGTGCAGGTAAGCAATTCCGCCATGGGGGTTACAAGGTAGCAGCTAACATGCTAAAAGCCTTCCCTTGGTGGTTTTGCTTCTTGGTGGCTACAAGCTGTCACCTCCTCCAGCAACAGACAAGTAATAAGAGGCTGCCTGTCATCAGGTGACCTCCAGTGCTCTGCCCTGCAGGTAAACTGGGGCTGTCTGCCATTAAGACCAGAAATTTAGCAGGACAGGAAAAACTCGGCTTACAAATGCAGGAGAGGATAGAAATGGAGAGACAAAATGAATTCCCTCTGTGTGAAAAGAGGGGCTTGTACTGGGGATGTTAATGGAAGCACTTAAAGGGTTTGATTTTCTTTGTGCCAATTTTGACACAAAGAAAAAAAAAATGACTCTATGTTTACTTGTTACCTTTGCATCCTGATCCAAAGGATACACAGTAGCATTTCAGCCTCACAGTGGTTGCTCTGTGGTATTGCATTTACATGGCAGAAAGAGGGTGGGACGCAATTTTCTCTGGTTCTTCCTTTCTTCTGCAGCCTCCTACAGTTCCTAAAAGCTGCCCAGAACTGAGGCAGCTCTCCAGAACAGCAGTGGAGGCATGGCTGGGGGCTCCAGGGGGAAGGGAAAATTGGCAACAACAATTGACCCACCCCCTTCCTGCAGCGGAGAGCCTCTGCTGGGTGCCAGATCCACCTGTGAACATACAGTTTGTGTTTCTGTTTGAGGAAGAGCAAGTCTGGATTCAGTGCTGTGACCCTGTGAAGATGAGAGATAAGTCTGTCCTTGGATATTATGCATGCTAGCCAGATTTCAGCACAAGGACCAAATTCAATTTTGGGGAAAGACTTGGGGGCTAAATTCCAGAGATGGCAGGGCCAACTGCAAAGGGGCAGGGGCATAGCAGCCTTTCGGAAAGTGGATAAAATTACGCGAACAGCCAGATCACCAGTCATTTTCAGTAAGGGGAAATGGATGGATTCATGGAAAAGGGTAATGCTGATGAATCCCCAAAATCTGAACTGGACTTTTAAGTATTATTATTATTATTATTATTATTATTATTATTACATTTTTATACTGCCCATAGCCAAAGCTCTCTAGGCAGTTGACAGCAATAATCATAGAATCATACACTCAAGTCACCCATCCCACTTCTGCGCAGGCCTGATCCTGCTTAGCTTCCAAGATTAGGCAGGATCAGGCACTTCAGGCTACATATGCCTAATAAGTATAAGATTCTGGGGACAAGCAACAGGTAAGAAACCATGACCTGCCTTTGTGTCGTGTCTGTAAACTTTCCAAAGGCCTCTGGAAGGAAATAGCCTGCTGGACAAGATACATCTGAGACTAGCGAGACAATTTAATTTGATATTGCCCAGCAATAATCCATCAAACTTACAGATGATCAGTATACAATGTTGGTACTAACAGTAGTATTAGTAGAAGATGTGACTATTTTGAGAATTCTTGGGAAATGCTTGGACCCGAGTGAGCTCTTCCACCATCATCAGCCATTTCCTAATTTACAAGGTGCGAGTGGTACAAAACAAGGGATGGGAACAGGCAGCAAAGAGGTTTGGCAAAAGCTGATGTTACCCCTCCCTCCCTCTGTCCCTCTGAAATGGAGGCTTCTGAGCAACTGGGGATTGTACGGGGGTTTTTCCTTTAATTCCGTCTCAAAAATAAGTCGCAAAGAATAAAAAATGACAATTCTCAGAATCAGCAGTGCTGATTCCAAGCAGGCACAATGGTCCTCATTGCAGAAGAAAAGCCATCTGGGAACCGTAGTTCCTTATTATTCCTGGACAATATCTCAGGAGGCTTAAAAAAGCAAAAAGCATAAAAACACAACTACTCTCCTATGGATTGCTGTTGGCAAGAACAGCTTAGAAATTTGGGAAAGACCAGGAAGCAATGGTGGATGAAGATAGATCTCAGGAAAATGAATAACGCTTAAAAATGACTAAATTTTGTCCAACCCATTTATTTATTTATTTATTTATTTATTTTTCGATTTATATCCTGCCTTTTTCCTGCAAAGGGCTCAAGGCAGCTTACATCATTCTCCTCCTCCATCTTCTCCCCACAACAACAACCCTGTGAGGTAGGTTGGGCTGAGAGTCTGTGACTGGTCCAAAGTCACCCAGTTGGCTCCATGGCTGAGCGGGGACTAGAACCCGGATTGCCTGAGTCCCAGTCCTGTGCGCTTAACCACTACACCACACTGGCTTTCTCATTGTGGCATTACTAATATTGTTTGCTTCAAGGAAATAGATGTGCAGTGGATGATCACACTTATCAGAAGGCTAAACTGCACACTACATCAAATGTATAACTGTTTACCTTAGTGTAACTGCATGGGGGCCTAACCTGACTTTTTATTTATTTATTTATTTATTTATTTATTGAAACATTTCTATGCCGCCCCTTGCCGTAGCCTTGGGGTGGCTCACAACATAATAAAATACACAATAAATTAAAACAATAACAATTAAAATATATACATTGGAATAAAATAAGCCGCCCTGGCCAAATAAAATTCAATGATATTAACATTTAAAATGCTGCTTAAATAAAAAGGTCTTCGCCTGGCGCCGAAAAACAAATAACGACGGCGCCAGGCAGACCTCTCTGGGGACCTCGATACACAGGTAGGGAAGGTTTAAATCTTCCCAACCAGGCAATTCCACTCAAAACTTTCAATGGTGCTAATGGGGGGGCGGGTGCTTCGTTTTTAAAAATCCCTTTGGAGGGGAGGGATGAGTTTGAGGGAAATGTGGCTGAGCTGGAAGGGTCAAACCTCTTGTACTCAAGGTGGTCCTGATCTAGGTCACACCCCGTGTACTTACACTAACATAAGCTAAAGAATAAGGGCCAGACGCACACCATTTATTGAATGTAGATATAGTCAAACTCTCAGATGAAGATAGCAAGTCCTAGGGAACCTCTGAAGCTCTGATACTTTGCTTCCTAAAGCAAGTTTACCTGAAGGGCCATGGCTAATGTAGTGATTATAAGGGCACTGATCTACCTTATCTGGAACTAAACTGATTATTTATCATGCTCTTCAGCATTTAATAGGAGAAATAGAAGAAGAAAGAATTACCTGATTATACGTTCAATAGCCCATTCGAAAAGTAATAACAAAGCCAAAAGGAATTTGTGACAAGGAAACAAAAGTCCCCTTTGTGGGATGAAATGAAAGGAAACCTAAAACACTTACACCCGCCTTCATGTATAAACTATATTCCTATATGTCTGATCACTATATAGACAGCTGTCACCTAACAAAAGGAAACAGAAAGCTGTGCATACACAGAATTGCCCCCAGATGAGGTGGCTTTCAACATTCCCAACTATCATAATGATTGATTCACCCAAGTAAAGTGGTTGTTGTAATTAAGACAGCAAAACTAGGTGGAAGGAATCAAATGCATTGCCTGCCAGAAAGAAAGTCCAAAAGGGATAGCTGGGTGGATGGCTGTTAACAAACAAGCAATGAAAATTCGGATTTATATGTATAAAACACAGACTATTGTGCATGTTTTAATACCTGATTAACAGAGAGCTGTCTTATTACAGCAGTGAAGGGGTAGAAGAACTAATGCATTAAAAAGAGATTTAATCAGTGACAAATTGAGAGTTCTATACAAACTCAGAATGTTTGGCCATATAAGATTATGCAACCTGGAAAGCTTTTTGTCTGTATACTAAGGCTGTAATCCTATGCCATATGTAATCCTATGAGAGTAAGCTCCATTGAATTCAGATGTACTTGCCTGATCCTTAAAATCAGCATCCAAGGCCATGCTCTCTGAGCATCAGCAAGAGCTATTAGGTTGACTAGGACTAGACAGGGCCTTTTCTGTGGTGGCCTCATCTCTGGAATACCTTCCCCAGGTCCCCTTGTTGTTGGTCCTTAGGCAGACTCTGCAGGTCCTTCTATTCTGGGCAGCTTTTGAGTGATTGTGATATTGTATCTGCGGCTCCTAGTATAACGTTTTTATTTACTGTTATTACTTTTACCTGATCTATTGATTTATGATTTATTTGTCATATATTTTAACATTTTATGCAATCTTGTTATACTGTTTTATTGATGTTTGCATTGGAATGATAGCCTATGCTTAAAAGTGGTTTAAATCCATCAAACACACACAAATATAATTCAGTGAGAGTTACTTCTGAATAGACAGGATTTCATCCTTCTACTAGTAACATCTTAAAATAGCTTTGTCTAGAATAATAAATTCTTAAAGAGTAGCCAAAAATTGTCTCCTCTAGGAAGAAAGAGAGAGAGAGAATTCTCTGGCACCTTAAAGAATAATAAATGGATCATGGCATGAACTTGCATAGGAAAGAGCTTCTTCCATCACGTAGCATATTAAGTTAATCCTCCAATTTAACTAAAAGATATATTTTCCTATCCTGTTAAAACATTATTTTTACTGTGTTGCAAGGATATACATGCTGTTGTTCAAATTTTTAAATGCCAAACTTTGTGCTTTGAGCCATTTTTTTTTCTTTTTGGCAAAACCACTTTTCTAGGTGATGAAAATTTTAAAAGACCAAGAATTCAATCACAGGGAATGATAGGGGAAACCGTCAAAATACTTTAGTGACAGGGTTAGATGTCCAGTGAAAAGAAAACAAATAACAGCCGGTATTCAGAAATTGCATTAATTTTTTTCTTCTGTTTTTTATAATTGAAATTTATGCGCATCACCAAACTTTGGGTGCATTGTTTTTCTCAAACGAAAACCGCTCTGTACAGCCTCATGTTTACTGAAGCTTTAAATGAGAACTGACAGCAATTCATTGGTACAAAGTAGGCTTCCTTCCCTGCCTGCCTTCTAGTTCACATCCCATTCATGTCCTAGAAATCCAGTAATCTTTGACTGGAGATGGAAAAACAGGGCAGGCTGGGGATAGCAGAAGCTCAGGGCAATGAGCAGCCTTGCACCCTGTGCTCGTCCCTGGGAGCTCACCTCCGTACTGCTGATGCTTGTCTGCATTTCCACTGGGCTGGGCATCCATCTCTGGTGAGATCTGATCCAACATTTGCTTGCATTCCTGCAAAAGACTGGCCACCGTTTTTGGATTACTCATGATGCGTCCTTTCACTCATGAACACTGAGGTTGGGGGATGTCTCTGGATCTGAGGATATTAATTAGGTGGAAGAATGTGCGCACTCTGCATGAAAAGAATCCCTTTCAGGTTGCTATACCTAGTGAACAAAAGAAGGAGAAGATGGTTAACTTAAACATCAGCAGTTACCTGCAAAGCTGAGGAGGCAGGGAAGGGTAAATGGGAATGTACATGGCAGCCTTAGAGGGCTCCATTAGAGAAGATGCGAAATTACTCAAGGGGCTGCATGGCAAACTGTGCATGAAAAGCGTCTCTAAGTGACCAGAGTGTGAAAAAAAGCATTTGCTTTTCAATACATACGTATGTAAGGTCCCAAAGAGTGAACTAGCCAGCCATAGGAGTGCATGCAAACACGTTGCATATATGTGACACCATGCAGTCAAGTGTTTTAAGCTGGAACCCTTTAAGGCAAAAAGATCTTCTAACCTTGCACTGCAGTAAAGCACCATGATTGTGGGAACACTAGCTGGGCTACATCACATATTCTTTCTAGAGACAGTAGGAAGTGTGTTGGGAACAAGCGCTACAATAATCTTACACACAATGTTGTAGAGCGAAAGTGGTGATCCCCTGCTAACTCACCAAACAACAAAAAGACACTGTCAAAAGTTCGCCCTGTTACACTATCTCATGAGGACAGAACTTAACCTTACCGAAAATAAAAATACTATTCAGAACAGAAAATACTAGTTGGACATAAACTAGTAGAAAGAACTTTTCTGTCAGCCAGCTGGCCTTCCTACATCTCCTAGTCCTCTGTAAGATCTGGTGCAAGGATGGAGAATCCACAGCCTGTGTGCCCAGTCTGGTTCACCACAACTCTCCATCCAGCTTGTGGAAGGGTTGCACTACCCTTGAGAATCCCACTAGCTTGAGTTCAGTTCACCAAATGGAAAGAATCACAAAACAAAGTCTACTGGTCCTGGCAGCATGACAAGAAGCTTGCAGCTGCAGGCAGTGCTCTTATCAGAAACCCAGCCCAGCCCAGCCCTAGCCAGACTTACACTAGGGGTCCTCTAGGAAGTGACTACAGCTACCATAGTGCCTCTGGGCTCTTTGGTGCTTTCAGACCATTTCCTGATCCTTAGAGGGCAAAACAATATGGATGGTAACCTTTTATGTAGGGGAGCAGTTCAACTTACTTGATACCATATACGTTTTCTTTTCAGAATCTACCCCAAAGATGGAAAATAATCTGAGACAATGTTGATCGTTGGTTCAAAAAAGGGGGAATACATCAAAGATCACTTTGAAAGAGTTGGCTCAAGGAAGATGATCCTTTGGAGAGGATCACACACAAACTCTTGCCATCTATTATAACTGGATTTTAAAAGTCTTTGTAAAGATCACCAATGGTTCCAAAGGGATAGCAGTGGATAAGTTAGAAGTAAGCCAGTTGGTTACAGTAAAAAAAAAGAAGAAAATATTTGAAATATTTTTAATGATTGTATTCTGGCACAAAGTCCTTCACTGGTTTGACTGTTTCAACAGGTGTTGATCTGTCAGGGAAAATATGGCTTTCTTCCATCATCACTTTTATCCATGACATGAGGAACAACTAAAGAAGAAGGAAAGATATTGAGGAATCAAGGAAAATCCACATATTGAAATTGAAGATCAGCAACTTCAGACAAATCAATTTTCCTAGATGGAAAAAGTGATTGCAAACTAACTAGCAGATAAAAGTTCAGGATGAAAACAGGCCACAACAGCCACATTCGCACAGCATGCTAACACATCCTGGCAATACGACATGGTGGGTTGGTTGTTGTGAGCTCAATGGACAACTGGGTCCCCTGTGGGTTGTTGACCACCTCTCCCTCACACGGGTATTCCATGAAACACCACAGGAAGACTGAATGTATCTTCATTGCCTGCCATTTTTGGTGAGCTGTGTCTTTTCCCTCTATTTAACATTTTTTTCTTGGAGATTTTTTTCACAGTCTCTGTAGGGGATCTGTTGTTGTTCCCAGTTACTTTCACAAACGTGTGATTTTTCAAGAATGAATTACCTGAACTTGCACAACTCTATACATGGCTATGGGGATGGGGAGGGGAAGTGGTTGTCTGCTGTTTTTGTCCAGCAGCTGATTCCCCATATTCAGAATGGTGCCAGTTGCCCAGTTTCGTATGGCACGATAACCCATCATGGCTTCAATAACCTCTATAATAAGTCATGGATAATTGGGGTGGCTTGTTGCCCATGAACAGGCCACTCTGGAGAAATCACTCCAGTTGCACAACATGCAAACCCAGCCAGTGTCTTAGATGCACTTCCAGTAGAACTGGTTAAGTGTTTCTCTGCTTTCACAGAAGTTGTGAATTTATTTAGGTTCCAAAGAAGATGGCATCATTCTTTCCAAAATCAAGGTACACTGGAAAGGGAGGTATAAGCTTTAGCGAGTCCATGCCCAAATGATTTGGAAACCTCTATGTCTTTTGATTTAAAACGTTTGCTTGCAGAGAGATGTGATGGATCTGAGACTATTGCACATAACTTTGAAAAGAATTTGCAGTTGAGATCTGGGTGAAATATTTTCAAATTCTACTATAGCTCTCCAACCTCACTGAACTCTGTCCATATTTAATTGTGAAGGAGAAGCTGCATTCCTCAAATCAGACTTTACTAAGAATAAATTATGTTCCATAATGCTATAGTCAAGACCAGTGTCATTATCTGCTGTACCCATGGAAAGATATCTTCTGAGACAAATACCTTTTAGTAATTTTGTCTCTGATTGCTGACAAGAAAATCAGAAAAAAGATAGAATAACATTTAAAATATCCCAAGTATAATTTGCCACTGTGTGAAAATATTTTAACTTTGGTCATAAAATCTTAACATCACAATGCAAAATATAGCAGGTTTTGGTTTTTTTTTAAAGAACCTAACACTGCCTGCTTGTGTGGGTCCCACCACTGCTGACATTCCAGGACATTCCATCAATCCTGCTGATTCTGGCTGAAGCCTGAAATTTGTGGAAACACTTGTTTCTGGTAGCATGCACGTCAACACCTTACTCAAGCTCTACCAATCTGCTACCTTCCAGAAAGGAGTATTGCTATGCTATGCTATTTATATCCCACCCTTACATCATTATAAAATCCATAATCAGCATACTAAACAGTACGTTATGTTATGTTATGACCAGCTGTTTTTTCCTTCCTTATTCTACAGCAGTGCTTCTGGAAAAAGCAATTCTGCACTAACAGATTATTAAATTATCAGCCTGTTCATTTACATTCCTTTCAACACTGATGCCTTAGCTTTCTCCTGCATATTACCAAGAACAAAAATAGGTATGACTTAGTATTTGAGATAATTCCAGTTTGAGTTGTTATGATCTGTCCGGTTGTTAAACATCTAAGAGTCAGAAATCTTTGCCAGTCTTGCAAAATGCCCCAGGGTCTATCAATAGTCCTGCTCAACTTTCTTCCACCCTGATCTAGATCCTGTCTCCATGCCACTTCAGCCTTTGAGTTAAGCTGGGGTGTGGCGATTTGTGATATGGGTACCTACAGATTTAATCAGATGACTCCTTTGCCAGAGATTCAGTGCTCCTCCTTCACCATGTTAGCAGGTCTGTGTGAATCCACCTTGGCCTATAGTATAATCTTGCACAAGCAACAGCTGCTGCTATCATATAAACATAAAAATCAGGCTGCATGCTCTTGGACATCCACTACTAATATAAGCTGCCTTAGAGTGATCAGCAAGTAAAAGGGAACTACAAAGGGGGTGTGGGCTGTAATTTTATATAACATCTGCATTCAGGTTTGCAAAACCAGTAAGGTCAGAATTACTTAATTTTGGAAGCTTGTGAGTATGCAGATGTGCTTCTGCATTTTTCAGAATTTCATCAGAAACAATGTTAAGAGTCATGCATCTGATGAAATGGACTTTAGCCCACAAAACCTTGAGTTAGCCTTTTTTCGGAAGCTACAAGACTGCTGCTTTGCTACAACAGAAAAATACAGCAACCCCTCTAGCAATTCTTAATTTTATGTTCTTAGAATCCGGATTTAAAATTCTGAAAAACCAATTAAAGCCCCTAAGCTGTCTCTCATTTTCTCTCTCTCTCTCTCATTCTCTCTCTCACTCTCTGTCTCAAAAAAAAAATATTATCCTAATTTTGATCTTCAGGCTATGCAACAATTCCAGGGAGACCAATGAAGAGGAAACAAAGCCCTGATGAGTTCCACGTGAAGGCTGCATTTATGGATTAATCCCAACAGGGAGCAAATAAAGCTCATCCCAGGAGTGTTCAGTGGGGACTTAGCACAGTCAATTGAGAAAAGCAATCGTTATTTATAGCCAACCCTGTTTTGACTTTCAAATAAACATTTTAATTATTATAAGTGCTACAGTGAACCTTCCCCTTTCTCTGGGTGGAAACGTGTGCTGGACCCAGAATAGATGCAGTGGTAATTATACAAATCTTTTTGTCATGTTAGGAATCATTTACAAAGCCGAGTAGGGAACGAGTGATGCTTGAATTACCTGGGGACCTAGCAGCAGCAGGAGGCAGAAAGCTCATTACTAACATGAAGGGCTCCCTTATTTCTCTTTCAGGGTGGGGTGGGGGCTTCCCTTCCTCTTCTTTACAGTATCAAAAAAAAAAAAAAATCTAGGGAAAAATGTCCTTTTCATACAAGTATCTTAAACAAGGCCATACTCTGGCTTTGCTAAAATCACTAATAACTCCAAGGATAATACAAACTTGAGTGAAGAGCATCTCAAGAGGAACTCTGCTTCTAGAACAAGCCATGCAAACATCTGAGGTTGGGGAATTAGTTAATCACAGGAATGAGTCAATGTAGAGTTATCTCAGGTAGGCAGCAGCAGGACTGGCTGGAATGGATGTGATAAAAGCTCTGCAAGAGAGAAAATCTGCCACAGGGACAAAGTCAAGTGTAATTTGTACAGTGTAGCTTTATTCTAGTTCTAGAAGAATTCCAATCTTGTAATCAGGAGCACAGAAAGCTGCCTTTCACTAAGTCAAGCTGTGGGTCCATCTAGGCCAGTTTTTCCAGCACTAACTGGCAGTGGCTCCCCAGGCTTACAAGAAGGACTTTTTG